AACACTTGTAATGACTAACTACTCCTGACATGTTGGAGATGTTTGCTCTTTATACAGTAAAGTTACAGCAGGATACAAATAACATCAGGCTGATCCTGCCACGATTTGTTCCCTCGGTTCAAATCACAGACAAACAGGATCTCACAGCTGTTTATGTTTTTAAACCCATTTTGCACAGAGAGGCATTTTTGAAAAATGTATTGACAGCAATGTTGAACATTATTACACAGGAAAAAAAAACTACATGTAAAATAATCACACCGTGACGCCTCTGCCTTTGTAAATGGAGGGACAGTAACTGCGTGTGTATATGTAAGCGTGTAAAACCTGCAGATAATCAGATTAACAATATTTTGTCTCTATCTGCCATTGTGGAAATTCAACTCATGTAAACAATAACGTGCGCACAGCGTGACGTAAAAAAAAGGCACATACCTTTGACATTGCGTTAAGACTGGGCGATATGACCCAAAATTCATATCTCGATATTTTTTTTAAAGCCTTAAAGTAAGAACAAAAATAGAGTTCTTAGTCAAAGCTGTGTCCCAGATGTCACACAGGCACTTTTATTGACATACAGCATAGATGTCAAAATGTAAACTAACAGACGCTGAGAATAATAACAAAGACAGATTTCATAGCTGCTCTGTTCCCAACTTCTATTGCGTGACTGACAGCCTGGAGTTTGAAATCCGCTTCGTAACTGTGTCTCTTAATAGGTGTCATTTATGGTCCTTATACACACACAGTACTGTAATATTACGTTGAAGCACAGTACGTATTACTACACGAGCCTCCTGCCTACGATAGCCGTAATGCTCCGACAGTCCATCAAGCGGTGAAGCTCCGTAGCTTACCAAAGTCATTTTGACAGATTGCTGAGCGCCATGTAAATTCGTTTATAAAATATAAACATATAATTATATATAATTATAAAATACATAAATTCAGTTCGCGGTCAGTAAGCACAAGCCACTTCACAAGCGCACAACATAGAAGAGCCAACTCCACAGGACAAGACTCAGCTGTCCATCTGCATCTAAAGGTCAAAGGTCACTCTTTGAGGATGCCAATGTTCACATTTTGGACAGAGAGGACAGATGGTTTGAAAGAGGAGTGAAAGAAGCATCTATGTCCACTGTGAGCGGCCATCTTTGAACAGAGGCGGGGCTTACGACACCAACTCTCTGCCATCTATAATCCAGTTTTGAGATCCCTCCCAGACACCTTAACGCCCACTCACATCCTGGGCCATCTGACCTCAGGAATTCGCATGATAAGGTGGGGCCAGGTTTCACAATGAGCTCACCCGAAACTCTGGCTGATTGGGACCCACACCCAGTTTCACACCTTGGCTCAGGTGATTAGGTAGAGGATCATTAGGGGGTCCTTTTGTCCCTCTGTGGGGGGAAACTCAAACTAGGTTTAAATCTGGGACTCTCCACCTTTTGACCTTAGAACTGAAGAAGCTTCTCGGATGAGAGGTGAAACGTCTTCAAGCAACTTAAAGAAGTCCAGACGCTTTTCTTTCCAAGCTCCTTAGACCTGGATGACTGAGAACCTTCACAGACGTTAATTCTGCAGTTTTAATCCCTACTAGCATTTTATTTGCCCCAAAAACAGTTATGTACAAAACGAAGGAGAACACAGCAGATCCGTACAAAGACAGACGTGACGAAAAGGCAAAAATTCCAGTCACCAAATCACAAAGTCCATATCACCAAAGTAAACTGGACCTGGGCTTTTTGCAGGGATCTGAAGTTACTAAACATTTTGTGAGTGTATGCACTCACACTTAGGACCATATAATAATAATTATGTACGTGATGAAAGTTGGGCAGCACGTCCTGTTCTCCTTTGTTTTGTACATAACTGTTTTTGGGGCAAATAAAATGCAAGTAGGGATTAAAACCACAGAATTAATGATTACCAGTGCTGGAAATGCAAGCGCTTGATGCAATGTTTTGATTTTGTTGCCACGGGTACCCACAAAGCAATGCACAAAAGTCACGTGGTCAGTCAATGTCTATAAGTAGTAGGATTTAAGAGTGTAATAACGGACTGAAACAGAAGATGGCGGAACTGCATGTACAAGGATGCCAGCTGCCGTTAAACCCCGAAGAAGAAGAAGCTGTGTCCAAATTTAGGGGCCACATCCTTTGGAGGCCGCATTTGTAGGCCAATTACGTTACAGCGACGAAGGCTGTCCAAATTCAAAGACTCCTCCAAAGGCGTCCTCCGTTTCCCCAGATTTGAAGGATGGGTCGAGTGTAAAACCTTTGTGGCCCAACCTATCCCAGAATTCATAGAACGGCCAAGCCAATTCCAGTTTCCAACAACGCCGGCCGCTACTTAGTTTTAATATTACTCTTATTACGCTTTCTGGGTCACAAAATAAACTTTTAACATATTTTCTGGCGAGAATATAGCCATGTAAGCTTCAAATATCTGCTCGGTTTATCACGAGATCACATATTTGTAAAAATGCTCTGATGTTTTCGGAGACGTCTGTTACCCACCAGCTCGATAGCTAGCTGGGGTTCAAGCCTCACTAGAGCCGGTGAGAACAGCAAACTCACGGCACATCGTTTTCAGACCCCCGGGGTCTTTGGTTACTCAGGTTAAACATGATATATAAATCACTTAGATAACTTTAAAAAAAATTTTTTTTTTTTTTTTAGCTTTTTAGTGTTTT